TCCCCTCGTCGGGGAGGAGTACAGAAGTCGAATTAAAGAGACCTCTATGTCGAACTAAATAGCATCGCAGTGTGGACGGGTGCAGGGTTAATTCGATTTAACGGCGCTAACTTCGACATAAACGCCTAGTGTAGACCAAGCCTGAGTTATTCTGTGTTGAGAAATGAGGGATTTCTTTTCATGGAGTGGAGGGAGTTGTGTAACACAGAGTTCTACATTAGCACTGTCATTGGGAATGAACAGAATAACCAATACACATGTACAATGAGAACAGTGGCTCTGGTTAAGGCTCTGCTCATGCAGTTGGATGGGGACTCCTTGTGGGCATAAGGGTCTCTGCTAGCAGATCCCAACACAGTAAAGGAGCCTAAGAATTTATCATTTTACTGAGTCATCTGATAATTGTAGCTCCGCTCTGCGTGTTTTTATTTTATATTTCATTGAACAGGGGGTGACTGCTCCTTTTAACAGTATGTTGACTTTTTAATTTATTTATTTGGATTTTTTTCAGGACTGCACCTTCCAATTACTTTCCCTGGATGCCTGGATCAGCATGTGTTGTCAAAGACAATCATTGCAAGTGGCCCTTCTCAGCCTGTGAAGTCACGTGAGGGTGATGAAAGGACAAATTTTGCCCATCTGTGGTACTTGTGGAACCGGACCAACAGTGCACAGCTGTAAGATAATGATTTTGTATCATCATGATCTGGATGTCTGTATATATCTCATAGCATGTTTGAGCGAGAGGCAGTCCAGCAGCATGTAGAAAGGAAGGATCAGAAGCCCAACAGCATTCTATCTACACAGGTACTTACGTGGCCATCATCGCTGCAGTATCTTAGGGCTTGTCTACACATACCGTGCTGCAGCGGCATAGCTGTCCACACTGGCGCTTAGGGTGGTGTAACTTATTTTGCTCTGATGGGTGGTTTATTCACACCCCTGAGCAACAACATAAGCTGTAGTGTAGACATAGCTTTAGTGCGTACACACACCTTCATATACTGAGATGATGAGGATCATTTAATACCTAGGTAGATACAGACACACCTCTGAATAATATATAAGTCTGTACAGTGACAGATCTATCATCCCATGCCCTGTTTGTGACCTGGCCTACCCCCCCACCCAACCCACAAGCTCTTCTGTGCAGAGAGCCCCCATAAAGCTGGGCTCTTTGGCATATTGGAGTATGCCCTCCCAACACAGGCTCTCCAAATCCTGCCTCTGTTTCAGCAGAACCATACAGATTCTGCTGCCTGGGACCCTCTGGGAGTGATTCTGGCCACTCCATTAGGACTGCTGTGCAGGGAAGCCAAGCCTCTGTGCTCTAGATCTCCCAGGTGGATAAAGCTTCTGGAGAAGTCTGCAGCACTGATTCCTCACTTAGCCTCTCTGGCATATTTCCTGAGCAGTGGCTCTCAGTCTGCTACCTCTTCCTGGGAATGGAGCTTCTCTGCCCACCTGCCCTAGGCCCCCAGGACCAGTGCTGACCCTGAGATAAACCAGTTGCTTAAACACACCCTGTCCCAGAACTCCCCCTACAAAGGTGTGGTTACTATTTAACTCTCTCAGGGTCACACAATAGTGGTAAAGCAGTTAAAACACACTTACTACAGAGTCTAACATATTTCTGTTTTTACTTAATCATATAAAGCACAAGACAGTACAGCTCATACAAAGCAATATACATTCTAAGCACAATGCCCCTCACTAGCTCGTCCTTCCCCTGCGAGTCCTTGGGGGACCATCTGGGTTCAGGGAGGCAGGCAGGGAGTCCCCTGCATCCTGAGGTGTTGCATGCTGGTGGGTTGCTTCTTCCTAAAGGGCTGGAGAAAATAGCTCCTGAGCAGAACAGTTTCTGTCCTTTTAAAAACCTTAGTGCCCTGTGTCAGGGGACACCTTTGCCAGCTTTCCCACATGAGCACAAACCCCTGGCAGGTGACTTCATTGCCAAGGCAAGTTCCCCTCTGCTAAACCAATTTTTCTGGGCAGGGACCAATCTTTTGTCTTGAACAGCGGTTCTCAAGCTGTGGGCCGGGACCCCAAAGTGGGTCATGACCTTGTTTTAATGGGGTCACCAGGGCTGGCTTAGACTTGCTGGGGCCTGGGGCCAAAGTTGAAGCCCAAGTCCCACTGCCTGGGACTGAAGCCCTTGGGCTTCAGTCTTTGCCCCTCCTGCCCAGGGCAGTGGGGCTTGAGTGGGCTCAAGGTTCGGTCCCCCTCCTGGGGTCATGTAGTAATTTTTGTTGTCAGAAGGGGGTCACGGTGCAATGAAGTTTGAGAACTCCTTGTCTAGAATACATAGCTGTCCATAGACAGTGTCATTGAGGATCCAGCAGCACCCCAAATTGAAAACTTCCTAAATGAAAGAAGGATAGGAAGGACAATCACCCCACTTTCCCTTAACACACTATCAGTGCCAACATTATGTCCAAACTAAGCTTCTGCCAGCTTGCCTTTATCTAAGTATTGCTCTCTGTCAGGCACTGGGAAAGCAAAGATGCTGCGCCATCTGGGTTTGATGGAAAAGAGGCATAGAACTGTGTGTGCCATGTACATCTTGATAGAGCTACAGCCCAAATTGTTTTATTATTTTCCTCAGCATGACATACAGGAGGGACAATCAAAATCAGTGTGGCAGAACATGCATGAGCACTGTCTCTGGACAGATGAGCAATTGATCAAAATCACATTCTCTGATCTCTGGGGGCCAAATCCTGTTCCCATTGAAATCAAAAGGAGTTTTGCTATTGAGTTCAATGGGAACAGACTTTGGCATTTGAAGAGAAAAGAACAAAACCACTCAAACAAGGGCTATGTTGCTTATACCACAGGTATCAAAGGCTGCTGACTCATGTGAGAAAGTCAGCAGACATCTGATCTTTGTCCATTGCAAGGGAAAAATCAGCAATCAATGAGGCTAGAACAGTCTCTGTACAGTATCCAACTCATAAGTCCATCTGCAAAGGATCAAGGAAATATGAAGGCTCCAGATTACCTTAAAGTCTTCAGTCCCTTGGTTAGAATGCTCCCATAGTATATGTTCATAGTCCAGAGGCTGGAGCAGGAAAGAGGCCAGAGCAGGAAAGAGACAAAATGTATCAGTGCATGGGATTCTTCTGTCCAAAGTGCAGAACTCTGCACTTGTCCTTGTTGAACCTCATCAGATTTCTTTTGGCCCTTTTGGACAGATTTAATTTGTCTAGGTCCCTCTGTATCCTATCCCTACCCTCCAGCGTATCTACCGCTCCTCCCAGTTTAGTGTCAGTTGATTCCAAGTTTGTAAATTGTTCTGGATGAAACTGACAATGCCTGAACTGTCAGATCAGAAGGAGCTTCATTCGAATAAAGGTGGGCAGATGTGTGATAAGTCTTAGCTCCATTGCTAAGATAAGGAACATATTTTCAGCAAAGTTCTTGGCAGATTCCTGAGGCAGTTGGTTTAAAGCCGTCAGAGTCCGGCATTATAATCTTCACTTATAGTTCTCTCACCCACAAAGCTGGAAAATGAGGCATTTGTTTGCTTTGTTTTGCTGCTCCAGTTTCAGTTAACAAAATGTATGTTAGACTAGTTTGGCTGCAAAGAAGAATTCTATGTTTAATTACAATGGGAACAACACCTGATTCCTGTCAGGCTGCAGAACTGGGTTGACATCAGAATCCAAACATCCTCTGGTCAGTGCAATCAGAGGCATTCCTCTAATGATTTGGACTTGATGTGATGCAGTATGAATATCATGGATAATTCAGACCAATGGGGAGAAACAGAATAAAAAATACTGTTTAAACACCTTCCGTCCTCCCCCCCACCCCCGACCAACTTAACAGCACAATACATATGCTAAAAAACTTAAACAAAGCCTTTCTTTAAGTTTGTTAGCATATGTATTGTGCAGTTAAAGCCATATAAAGAATGAATGCCCTCCCTAGCCGCATTCTGCTCCTTTAAGGAGCAGAGCATAGCCCCACCCAGCCAGTCCCAAGTCTTTCCGGTACCCCATACCTGCTAAAAATCTCTTGCCGGTACTGTGGACTGGAGTGTACCGCCCTACTTGCACTCCTGTTTATCACTAGATCACAGTCTAAACTATCCATCATTATTATAGTCCTTTGTTTATGTAGTTAACTGAATTAACATTAAAATTCATAGTACTTATTAGATGGAATAATGACTAAATCAGTGAATTTGCCCAAATGCAATGATATCTAGCTTTTAAATAATAATTTTCCTGAGTTTGAGTGGTTTGTCTATTGACTATGTCAGTTGCGATTTCTGAGTAAAATTAAGCCTCACTCAGGATCTCGCAATAGAACTCATCCGTAGCTGAAAACAAAATCCAGACATTTGAGAGTTCTAAACGTGAGGCTTAGTTTTACTTAGAAATCCTGTCAGCCGCCCCAGGTGTGGTGGGGACTCCTGTTGTCAGCCGCCCAGGGTGTGGGGAAGCAGGGCCAGGCTCCTGCTGTCAGCCCTGGGTGGCTGCTCCCCTGCGAGCCTGGGAAGTGGGAGAGGGACCCCACCACAGCCCCGCCCCCAGGCCTGGGGAGGGCGAAGAACCCTAAGGAGCAGAGGTGAGGCTGGAAGGACTGAACTATGGCCTGGGGGCTGCAGGAGGTTCTGAAGTGAGGAAGGTGGGGGGTTGAAGGGGGTGGGGGGCTGTATTGATGTGGGGTTCTGAGCAGATGGGTGGTGAAAGCTGGAAGGGTGAACTGAGGATGGTGGAGGTCAATGGAGTAGGGGGCTGAACTGATGGGGTGGTGATGACGGGGTCTGGAGGACTGAACTGAGGAGGAGCTGAATTGAGGGGGGTTGGCTGGAGACAGAACTGATGGGAGGCTGGGGGACAGGATTAATTGCTGGGCAAGAGAGGGGCAGATGTGGGGGTGAGAGCTCCTGCAGCAGGCAACAAAATCACCTTATCCGGTACATGTGGGAGAGTGTACAACATTAACTGTCAAATGCACGCATCCTAGGGATGGGCAGGGAGAGTGCAAAAATCAAGAGACTGGTCTAACAAACACAATAAAATCTCTTTTTAAAAAAATCTCACGATTTTGGGGCCAATCTCATGATTTTGGGGGCTCTGATTCATGATTTCTGATCTCTTGATCAATACAATTTGGCAATATAATTCCATAGCTAATTCTTTGCAGACTATTGTAGCAATATACCAATAGCTGGACACCTCTATAGTGTGGCCACTGATGCATTCTCAGAATACCGGACATTCTGGTACTTCCAGGAACTGAATGGCCCTACCTCCTGCCAGCGTGACCTTGGACACACGGTATGTGCGAGGTCATGCCGCATGGGAGGGTGCCATTTTTAAGAACGTGCTGCTCTGCCTCCACCGATGGGACCTTGTATGTGAGGTCACCGTGGTGGGAGCAGAGCAGCACAGTGTTCAAAAGGGTGTCCCCCATCCGATACTGGACAAACCATGACTGATTTTGTCTCAGTACCTGATGGGGGACAAACCCTAGAAAAACAGGACTGTGCAGTTAAATACTTCACTAGTGGCCTCCCTACATCCCTATCACTTCCAAATCAAAGCCTGCCAGATAATTATTCACTAATTTATAAAGGGCTATTTCCTTGTATCGTAGTCCTTTACAGTATTTTATGGAGGTGCTGGTCTTGACTCTCTACTGTTGCTAGCCCTCCAGAATTGTCCTGAAGTCTCTGGGAATTAAAGATTAATTTTAAATTAAAGTTTATGTCATGTGATGAAACCTCCAGGAATATGTCCATCCAAAACTCTGTTCAGTGATGTCATGCAATAATCACATGAGCGTGACAATGGCGTTTTAGTGTGTGTGATCCCACTTAAATGTAATGGATCAGCGTTCACGTTGCACTCCCCATTAGTACGGGGCCAGGGAAGCTAATCATTCAATCAGTGGACCAAATCTGGTGATGAATCCTGGTCATGTGCCACCTGAGGCATATTGTGCATATGTTAAGAAGACTTAAATGTAAGTAGTTTTTGTTAAAGATAGTGTAGGTTTTCCAGGTGTTAGCACAGGGCAGAGTTAAAGTTGTTTGGGTGCCTTAACTTTGTATTTCCATTCCTTAACATGTTTGGATTTCTTTAAAATTGGATTTCTGGGTTGGTCATGCCTGTTTTTGCAATAATAACAACATTACTGTAATGTTTTTTACCTATACGTTCCTGATATGTGCTCTCAGCTGTGACTCTATCTTGCCATAGGTTTTATCTGGGAGTTACGATGAAATAAATCCTCCAAGCAGTAAAAACAGACTTGGTGCATAGCATTGTTCCAACCTACTTGGTTTAATCTCTTGTGTCACTTCACTGGGGAAGAAAGACTCCTATTTTCAGTATTCTTATACCTCATTTTCCTTTTCATATAGAGGAAGCAAGCACTTTCCTAACACGGTGGATTGTTCTTATTTTGCAGGAGTTCTATACCAGCTCCAGCTGACCACAAGGAGCTCTTTAAAGCTCAAGACCTTTCCATCATCATCAAAGCGTATGTCCTAGTGACATCCTTAACACCTTTGCGGGCATTCATTCATTCAACTGCCATTGTCCGGCTTCCTCCCAAGAAGAAGCACTTTTCTGTAAAGGTAAAACTCTTCTTTTCTAGCTGGTTCATTTACTCAAAGTGCAGTGGTAGAAAGGCAAACAATTTAGTTCCTCTTTCTTCTTCCTTCATTATTAGCCATTCCTACTGAACACAAAATATATTTTTCATGGATAGCTTTCATGGATCAGACAAAAGAGCACTGTTTGGTTTGCAAAGGAGGAGGGAATATTGTCATGCACAATGGGATTATCAGGGCACTTCCAAATTTTGGCTCAGCTGTGTGAGCACAGATGCAGAACTGTTGTTACCCTTTCAAGCCCAACTGTGCATACACTGCAGTGCTGAAGCTTTTTTTAGATTGGTGTTAATCCACTATGGAAGAAAGTAAAATCAATATCTAAAATAAGGGCCAGTTTTGGATCTTTAATTTTTTGAACTAGAGATATCGCAGAGTTGCACTTCATGAGAGAAGTGGTCACAAACTAAGGAAAATGCTCTGTAAGGTGGAATGGGCCTCCAGTGTGCCACCCTTAGAATCCTAGGGTCTATGAAGATGGATGCTTTATAAACAGGCTTGAAAGGATTAGATTTTATCAGTAAATGCCAGTAAATGTTGCTTTCACTGCACACACACAAATTGTTGGGAAAATATTTCCGTCAGTAATAATAGAAATTTACAGCTAGGCAAAGTAAGAAAAATGCACCTTGAAAACTTATTAGAGTTTGACTTAAAAAGATATTCACGTTGTGTATTTTGACATGTGGTGTTGACAATTTGTGTTTTAATGGTTATAAAGCTTTAACTTTTTGAATTTCAGTGTCTATTGTCATTAAATAATTGTCTTCCCCTTCCCCACACTCAATTTCATGCAATTCTTGAAACGTAAATTGATAAAAACTTTAAAAATGCATAAAGAAATAAAAATCGAATCCTGCCAAGCCTATTTATAAGGGCCTAAAATAGATTAGATCTTGTCATGTCCAGGTGGCTGGGGAGAGACCATCTGCTTTCCCCTGTCTATCTTGCCCAGTGGCACATGCCTCCTCATGGGTATCCTGCTTCTCCTTTGTTCAATTTAGTGAGAAACTGTGCTTGTGACATAGCAGCTCTTCCTGCAATGCCAGGGGATCTGCTGCCTTGTGGATCATTCCATCCTTCCTTCTGCAGAAGGGAGGCACTAGGGCTGCAGAGTTTTCTATGCAGGGCCGCCCAGAGGATTCAGGGGGCCTGGGGCAAAGCAATTTTGGGGGCCCCTTCCATAAAAAAAGTTGCAATACTATAGAATACTATATTCTTGTGGGGGCCCCTGTGGGGCCTGGGGCAAATTGCCCCACTCCTCCTCCCCTCCCTCCCCCCCCCCCCCCC